ATGTCCGATCGTTGCAGTAATTTAGAAAAGCGTTTCACTGGAGGGGTTTTAGTGACCTCATTGGGAGTGCTACCTTCGCGAAGGCTTCCACGGGCGAACGAGTGTCTGCGGGCCCCAGTCCGGTCTGGCTAACCATCTTCCAGGTTGACTCACACAGGACCTCACTGTGGCGACTACCGCGTTCTCACACCCTTTGGGCATCGCCCTCGCGGGTGGTAATGTACTCGTCCGACTATGAACTTCCTCCAACACAGTCTCTACTACCTGTGCACAAAAATACATTATTCCTCACACCTGGTGGCCCACTTCTTCACTTCCCACACGGAACCAGGCCTGAAGGTCGCGGTGGCATGGATCACTTCTATTAATTCAAGCCACTGCGATGGGATGACAATAAGGGGACAAGAATAGGTGTCTTGAAGATAATGATATAGTTTAAGTTATAAATTAATTTCTAAAGTAAAGTAAAAAACTACAATTTAAAAAATCGAGTATCCACCGGAAAGCATTCAGGCAATTCTGGGGAACCGATTGAGGATCCGAACACCACGCAGCTGTGCCATACAACGGCAGAATGTGGGTCAAACCGGCGTGCCTGGGTTTTTAGCTAGTACATACAATACTGCCAGTATGGTAAGTAATTACGTGAGTTGTATAACTTCCTGCCTGTTGTCAGCTTGTGGATATTACGAGGTTGTCTCACAATGAGAAGTGGACTCCGGCTCAACCATTCGTATGAAATCTCAATATGCTTCTATAGATCCTTGAATATACTGTCCACGCCTAGTTAGAAGTTAATTTCTGAGGAAATCAAAAAGCTAAAATAGGTGGCGTTTGGCAATAAGCAGTACAGTAGATTACATATCTTGCGAAAGGTTGGGGATTGGGGAATTTAAGACACATTTGAGGTTGTTTATTTAGTTAATTGGGTTGGCTTGAGGCGCATAATACTATTTACTAGAATTGAATACCGTTCAGCTCAGTATACTAGGAGAAAATAAAGGCGGAAGTGGGCGAAATCCAGCGTTTGTTGATATCCGAGGAATTTCCTACGCTATTAAATGGTAAGAAACCTTAATAGGCGGAATGATTTCAAAAGAACATCGGAAGCCGAACTAGAATTTTTAATACGGATGACCGGGGGGCTATGTTTGTCAACTACTTTCGTTGAAACTGTTTGAAGAAAAAACGTGGTCTGTGGACGCGAAGATGGTTAGGTAGAACGAATTTGCTACAAAGAACGACAGTAAGAGTCTTTATTTGCATTTCATAACAAAATGCACCTAATTTGTCTTCTTCCTGGTTGCAAGGAAGGACGCTACGAGTTGGCTGATTTGTCATTTTCTAAGGATTCTGCCTGACCTCAAAATATGCTACCCAGTTGCTTAGACTACATTTGAGGGCTAACATCTGCTTGTCCAGCAGACTTCCTGCAAATGCTAAGGCGACACAGCCTTAATATTTTGTTGTGTTTTCGAAGGACCAAGGTACGCAAGGACAGCCCGAAAGTCCCACAGACTGTGGCGTTGAAACCCTGCCGTCTGCCAGTGAAGCCTCTGACAGGCCCGGATCCACCCTCCAATCCGTGACTGATGAGTTGGCTGAAATGCGAAACAGGTGAGGCCAATTCTATGCTCTGATGCGAACTAGGCAGCAAAGCTATTGGATGCACTTAACGCCTTGATTAAGACTCGGTGGCCACGAACGACCTCATACACTAAATTTTCGGCCCAGACGTAGTAAATGCGGAACAATACATACGACGAGGAAATGCTTTTTTCAAAAACGAGACTGATGTCTGCAGAGAACGAGAGAGAAAGAATTGAAATACTAAAGTCCTTTACTTCACAAGGGGAGATCAATTTTAAAGTGCCAGAGTTACCGAAAAGTGAGGCGTACGGATGAAAATAAGCCATTACAGAGTCAGTGACAGATCTCATGACATGTAAGCCAAAAATCGAAAGTGCGTTTTAGATTATGAGGGGTTACTTAAGTGAATATGTAGCATAGATTCCCTGCGACACAATTCCAAGCTAAATCAGACATTCCAGAATGCTGACTTTCAACCACACGTCTTTTCAACTGCCTGAAATGGGGTAAAAACGTCTAATTAAGTAGTACATGTTTTATATTGATTTTTTAAGCCATCATCAATTAAAATATACTGTTTGGGAACGTAGAAGCTCAGGTCTTCTTCAAAGGCCCTACTCAAAATGAAGGGATATTTAGGTTTTCAAAGGAATCTTTACGTTCGCAAATAATTTGAAGTTCGATCTGCCGTTGCACATGTGTTCAGTATTTTCAGTCTACAAGCTAGATTCTTTCACTGTAGGGAAAATCATAAATTCCTGCATGTCATCAAGAAAAACATATGTATTGGATATAAAAACCTGCAATAGATTTGTAACGTGTTCCATACTTCTTCAGGGGCATCAATAAGCATACAGATGCGATGAGGTTTGGGTGAACATTGCACAGTCTTAAATATCTCCTAAGAGTATTTATTTAAAACTTTAAAGAGTTAACTATTAAGAAAATTGGTTGGCCATCCTTTAGTTACAAGAACGAGTATTTTTGCTGATGCTTTCTCATATCTATATTTGCATTTATAAGGGTATCGAAATTAATCTAAAAACACATACTACGTACGCGACCATTTTTACCAAGCGTCGAGATTGCTGGTGGCTTGCAAGAAAGTGCATTCGAAAGCCGGTAGCTTGGTGTGACTGCATTATCATAGGAATATGCTGCAAGATATTCAGTATTCCAAGGCCATCTAAGTAATTCTTTCTAATTGAAAAAGAATTTCAGTTAACATTTCACGAAGTCTGTTAATAACTGCAGCTATGAAACAATTGCTAGCATTAGAAAAAATATGCAAACAGTTTGGAATGGCGAATTTATTAAACATTCGTTGCGACCTGAAAAGTTCCCATGAAATCTCGATACTCTTAGAATTTACCACGCTGTTAAACCAGTAGGTTCGGTGCTATGTCAATATTGACCACTAGGGCTTATCTGCTTACTTCAAGAACAGTACCGATAAGTTTCTGTATGCTATTTTAAACGGATTGCACCATGTTTCCCTATAGAACACTAAAAAATAGGATAACGAACGTCACTCGCATTTGCCATGACTTCAAATGCTGAAATGAGTCAAGAGAGCTATCCATAAACACAGAGATGAGCGGGATGGCAATTTCGGACCTATTACCTGCCGACAGCCAGCCAGCCGTCCTCAATCTCAGTTTCGATATTTTGTGATTTGATCCAGTATTCGTTACTAATCGTGCTTTCTTTAAACTAGAGATCTACTATTTGACGTTATTCTAACACGGGATTGAGTATGACTGACTGAGGACGGTTAATAAGCCGGAAAAGATCATCCCAGTTTCCCCCTCTTTTTGCCGGTATAATCAATTGCCGCCATGCAGCTGCCTGCAAGGGCTCTAGATTGAGTCCCAAGGCGCAGTGTGATGAACCTATCCTGTGACTTCATAGGTGGATGCCGGCCTACCTTTCAGCCCCTTGGGGTACGAATTAAATTCTTCATGTCCATCAGAATGCACGTTTGCTTGGTATCAAACTGCCCAGGCTTTGAGACCGGACAATCTGCAATGGCCCTGAACTTAACGGGTCAGCCAAGATTCAACTCACGGCTCCCGTTGGGCCCTCGTAGCTCAGTTCGCTAGAGCGTTGGCTGTACTAAAGCAGTCTCCTTGCTGACGTGAGCTCGAATCCCACCGAGTCAGTCGAGGTTTTTACGAGTGGGTTAAATGACTTAATGGGTTCGCCCTTCTTATGTCACCAATCTGTGAGACCAACTGAGCGATTTATCAGAGTGTCTTGAGAAGCAGAGGTGTAGTTATTGGTTTGATTTGACTTCATCACTGACTTGAATGTGTAGCACTGCATTTCGTACAAACAGATTTTTGTAAACATTAAATTCTTCATTCCCGTCCTTTTTTATGCTGGACGCTTTGCGCGCAGATTGACTGCGGTGAACCAGGAGTTTGAGAAAAAATACGCCGAATTGAAACTGGAGATGAAGGAGGCGAGGGAGGCGTACGTCGCTTCGACCGACATCCTGAAGAACGAATCTGAGCTCGCCCTAAAAGCAAAAGATGCAGTAATCCAAAGGTTACAGGAAATGGTATGTTCTGGGATTGAATTTGTCTGGTGCTTAATGTCCGCGTTTTTTAACCCAATTACGAGATAGATCACTTAGATGAAACCTACAGGTTGAATATTTGCAAAGGAGGTGACCTTGATAATTCGTTTAATTTAAACGGCTGTAATTTGTAGTTAACTTTTGGATGGAACTCCCTATTAGGAGGAAAGTTGTTTTAAACTCACGGCAATAGCCACTAAAAGACGGTGATTCGAATCCCGCCACCGTTTTATTTTGAACTTCAGAGATTAATCTAAGATCGAAAAGCATGGCTTTATAAGAACAACCTGCGTTAGCACATGCAAATTTGGGGATTGGTTGGATCCTACTATTATTCCTGAAATCAAGGTCTTGGATGTATCTATAAAGGTAATAATTATTATCTAGCCTCATCGTAAAATTCTCTGAACGCACAAGTTTACCGGAAACTCAGCGTAACTTACATAGACGTGGTTAAACTTACTTATTATAAACTTATAGACAGAGAAAACAACATGAAAACTAACAAACAACTTTTTTGAGGAGGCGAATCAATCCCTGAACCGGTTGTTTAATTCGCCTGTAGTTTGGGATTCAAAATCGAAGCAATGCTTTCGTATCGGTAAGGTCTGTAAGGTCTGTGCCTGTGAGGCTAGAAGTTACCCATTTGGTCGTAAAACTTTGATTTGCCTGGAACTTAGTAACACTGGTGACTCCACTCTTATACGCGCTGTTAGTGAAAACGTCTAGCCGCGCTTTCTTATAAAAAGTAGAAGAGCTGTTTTTCGAAACAACAACAGAACAGTGGGCAAGGGCAGAGGATTGCTGTTGATGATAATAAGGAGGATAAATAAACCAGGGGATAAAGAACTGCACACTGTCATATCTCTCAATACCAATTCAACGGTCGCGAACGACGATGTCTATCGCCGCTGCGACCTCCAGGCCTGGTTTCTTGTGGAAAGAGAGGTGGGATTTCAGGTAGGAAGAATGGTATATCCTGTACAGGGGTATCAAAGGGTAGGTTGGAGGAATTTGCAGCTATACGAGCGTACGTACGGCCGCGAGGGCCGGCATCCGAAGTGTGTGAGTGCGACAGTCATTATAGAGTCTACGAGGCGTTTCTTGTGTGAGTCAACCAAAGGAAGATGATTAGCCAGACGGGGTTGGTGGAAGCAGGTCCTGGGGCCTGCGCACGTGCTATCAGGCGCGCTACGCGAGCGTGCGGGTGGAGGGAGGGGGTCATTACATGTCCACCATGTGTCCCACAGTGTGCTGGGTGCGGGACTCGAGCATATGTTGGTTCACGGTGAAGCAGACTTTGGCAGCATCTGACGCACTTTCTCCTCGCGGAACCTCCTGAACCCCGTTCCAAGTGAGGGCCGAAAAGGCCAGGGGCGAGATCAGTTGGAGTGGCTGAAAAAATTGGCCAATCAGCTCCGTGTTTTATACACAACTTTTTTTTGAGCAGAATTGACCAGGTTTTCACAGATTCGATTGAGACTGTTACAGAAACGATATTAAGAATAAGTCACTGCGGCTCGAACTTCAATCTGTCAGTCAGCCACTCCACTGACCCCGGGGTCCGAGTCGGCCCGTCAGTTCCAAACCACGATTTGGATTTCAATTTGATAGTTTAATACGCATCTGATCTAGTATGATCAGGAATACGCTGACGAGTCGTGGCGACAGAGTACCAGAGTCCGACTTACTGCCTGAGTTCCACAATCATTGGATGCTATAAGTCTATGGCAAAACATGTAGAACATTTGTAGAACATTTACTACAACCCACTGACCGGTGACTCTAGCGTTTACCGCGGTTCTTCATCAGCCACTTACACTAAGAGCCTGTTAGAAAACAGCATAGCGGATGTCACATCTATTTCTCCGTCAATCCAATGCACACACGGCTCTGAACTGTGTATAGTAACTCCGGTATAATACATTAAAGCCAATCAAACCTCCCAAGTTTGATTATGCTATTAACAGCACGCAAACTCTTAATGAACATATTACGTTTGATTTTTTGAATTCTTCAAGGGCGAACAATTTTAAATATCGAACAAGGAAGTTATTTTGCTGATCACAGTTGCTGCCGAATCGAGGAATTTTGGTTCTGTATGAAGATGAACTAATGAACTCACAGTGCTCATACTTTTCAGGTGCCCCGGCGGGGTCTTTCAGTCTTTAGCCACACTCATCGTATGCATCATTCCTGGTCACAGGCTCGTAACCAGGGGCTTGCGGGTCCCCGCT